CCCCCCCCAAAAAAAAAAAAACCTGACTTGTTTTTTTTGTTTTACTTTTACATCTTTTGTAAGCAAATCAGTTTGACATGATATTTTAAAAATGTATTTCAAAGAAAAGAAGATATAAGATTCACCAAATGAATATTAACATACAAAACAAATAGCCTAAAAATTGACTGTAAAGATAGGCAATTATACAGATGAATAAAAATATTATTAGAGCAAAATTTTGGGGAAAAATATAGATATAGTAGCTATAAATATAGCTATTTTAATTGAACGCGCTGCGCTTGCTTCAACTTTTGTAGCTTCAGATGCAGCTACTTCTTCCACCCCAGATGAGAGCAGGGTGCGGAGCGGGACGCGCATGGCCGATGATCAGGTGATCCATCTGAAGCTTAACAGGACTTTTTTTTTTACCTCTTTCAACCAGCCGGTCGGACCTGAGCGTGCACCTGACCTGACACATCAGCAGGTTTCACTGTGCTGACTTTGTAGAGTGAGCTCTCACGTTTTTAGCTTTTGTTCAATATTTTCCAGTTCCATTATGTCGCTTGTTGTGGGTCAGTTTCAAATCCTCAGATGTGTGATAAGAGCAAAGGGCGGGGCCATATGTGCCATTGTTGTGCAATGCGCCAGCTCTACTCTCATTTCACTGTCTGATTAACTTCTGCGCTCTATTTTCTTTCCTCGTGCTCTCAATATCCTGATGCTCAATATCTTACATCGGGGAAACTAAAGAGCCACTGGCCAAAAGGATGGACCAGCACAGAAGATCAACATCATCAGGCCAGGACTCTGCGGTCTACACTCATCTCCAGGCCAGTGGTCACTCTTTCAGGGATGAAGATGTTCACATCCTGGACAGAGAGGAACGATGGTTTGAGAGAGGAGTAAAGGAGGCCATCTTTGTGAAAAGAAATCGTCCATCGTTAAACAGGGGTGGAGGCCTCCGGGTTCAACTGTCCCCCTCTTACAATGCTGTGATGGCTAGTATCACTCAGCCCTCTGTGAACAGTAAACAGCCATCAGTGTGCTAATGATCCATTGTTAGGCTGATGGTCCTTCTTGACCATGTGAGCAGCTGGTTTTGGTTGTCAGCAGCAAACTGGTTGATCCACTCTGAGAAGGTGCTATTTAAGAGACTGAGCTGAAAACAGCACCTCAGACTGAGGAAGTACTTTGGATGAGAGACAAAATGTCTCTTTAAATTTTAAATTTTAAATTTTTTTTTGAATGTCCAGAGGACCAGATTTAACTCTTTTAGACTCATGCTCTCAACATATAAACTTACCGTTTCCTCCTTTACAAGTAGATTAACACAATTTCATATTGTGCATTCTTATTTAGTTTTCTTTGTGCTGTGTGATTCGTAAAATCGCATCAAAAGTCCGAGACCGACCCGGTCCGCCCATCAAGCACATAATTTTGGCCCGACCCAGCCCGAATTTCAGGTCGGGTTGGGCTTGGGCCAGAAATCACAACTGTAGATGGGTGAACTAAAATTTCATGGTAAATGTCCAAACAAACATTTTATCAATGTGATGGGGACACGTAATTGATGTGACCCCTATGGTTTCATGACTTAGTTAGTCATTGCTGATGTCGTTCCTTCTTGACATTGTGTTTACAAACACCTCTGTCTATCATAGAGGCGCTCACATTTAATTATTACAATGATTGATCTGCAGGATTTGGATGATACTGTGCAAGCAGCAACAGTGAAACAGTTTTTCACACATCTTTTCTGTTTTGACTTTGTTTATGTTCGATTTAAAAAAATGACAAAGTGTTTTTGCACACTTGAGTTTAGATTTAGATCATTTTAAAACCTGTTCAACCTTCAAGTTGTTTTATTAAATTCTGATATGTAAAACCCTTTGAAAGAAGGAGGATTTTCTTTTTCTACGACTGTATGAGCAGTAACTGAGAGGATTTACTGCCTGGATTCAAAGCTGCGTCATCGTCTCGATACAGGGATGTGTCGACAGGAAGTGTTGTGATGTAACAGGAAGTGAGCTTCCTCCAGCCCTCTCCCTTTTCCTCCATTCACCTCTCATTTAACGCTCTGTCAGTTTTTACGAACAGGATGCAGGTGCTGCCTTTTTAAGCCTTGGTTCTGCAAATTACAGCCCATAAACAAACACACACACACACACACACACACACACACAGATTGCAAATGAACACCTGATTGTTTGGCTGAACCAATCTATGCTATAAATGTATTCACGTGTTCTTCTCAGTTCAGGTTCAAACATACCCACAATGCAACAGTTCACACAAAGACGTGACGCTGTCGGCCATTAACTGCAAACAGCCCAACTCTGATTTATAACAGGACCACAACAACAAGCA